CGGGTCTCGAACCCGCGGGCTCAGGCAATCCACTCACCTCAGCCTCTCAAAGGCGCGGGATTACAGGCTGAGCCACCGAGCCCGGTTTATGCTGTCTTTTTAAAAAAATAATAAAAGATTTGCAAGTTCCTCATAAAATGTTTAGAAAACATGGCTAGGAACAAAGGTCTGCTCTGTGTTATGGCCAGTGACAGAATTTTTATTTTATTTTATTTTTGAGTCAGAGTCTCAGTCTGTCACCCAGGCTGGAGTGCAGTGGGACACTGCAGCCTCAACCTGCTGGGCTCTAGTGATCCACCCGAGCTTTCCAAGTAGCTGGAACCACAGGCATGTGCCACCATGCCTGACGGATTTTTTTTATTTATTATAGAGATGAGGTCTCATTATGTTGCCAGGCTGGTTAGGCAATCCTCTTGTCTCCACCTCCCACAGTGCTGGAGTTACAGATGTGAGCCACTGTGCCCGGCAAATTTTGAAATTTTGTATCTGACTGTAAATATTTTTCTTGTTTTTGAAAAATACATGAGAATCATATAAAATAATTCTTTCTGGGGAAAAGAGCACTGAATTATGTAGTTTTTTTTTTTTTCCAGATCCCAAGAGTCAGACCTTGAAGGAACACTTAATTGATGAACTGGACTATGTATTAGTTCCAACAGAGGCCTGGAATAAATTACTAAACTGGTATGGCTGTGTAGAAGGCCAGCAGCCCATTGTCAGAAAAGTGAGTATGTAAATTGACATACCTGCTGGTCACTTTCTACAGATGCTCCCTGAGAGACACTGATTATAAAAATGAACATATTTTAGTGGTTGAATGGAGGTGCTTAAGGCCTTGTCCTAGATTCTCTCTCTTTTTTTTTTCTTTTGAGTTGGAGGCTCACTCTGTCACCCAGACTGGAGTGCAGTGACACACTTCCAGCCACCACAGCCTCGACCTACTGGGCTCCAGCAATCCTTCCACCTCAGCCTTCCAAGTAGCTGGAACTACAGGCGTGCGCTACCACGCCTGGCTAATTTTTTGATTTATTGTAGAGATGAGGTCTCGCCAAGTTGCCCAGGCAGGTCTTGAACCCGCAGGCTCAGGCAGTCCACTCACCTCGGCCTCCCAAAGCACAGGATCACAGGTTGAGCCACCGACCCCAGCTCTTTTTTTTTTTTTTTTTTTTTGAGTTCGAGTCTCACTCTGTTGCCCAGGCTGGAGGGCAGTGGCACGCTCCCAGCCAGCTCAGCCTTGACATGCTGGGCTCCGGCGATCCTTCCGCCTTAGCCTTCCAAGTAGCTGGAACTACAGGTGTGTGCTACCATGCCCGGCTAATTTTTTTTTTGATTTATTGTAGAGATGATGTCTTGCCAAGTTGCCCAGGCGAGTCTCAAACCTGCAGGCACAGGCAATCCACTCATCTCAACCTCCCAGAGACGCGGGATTACAGGCTGAGCCACCAAGCCTGGCTATCTTTTTTTTTTTTAAAGTTGATGTCTTACTCTGTCCCTCCGGCTAGAGTGCAATGGCATGCTCACAGCCACCGTAGCCTCGGCCTGCTGGGCTCAGACGATTCTTCCACCTCAGCCTTCCAAGTAGCTGGAACTACAGGCATGCACCATCATATTCAGCTAATTTTTTTATTTATTGAAGAGTCAGGGTCTCATAAAGTTGCCCAGACTGGTCTCAAACCCCTGGGCTCAGGCAATCCTCTCGCCTCGGCCCCCCAAAGTGCTGCGGTTACAGGCTTAAGCAACAGTGCTGGACCTCAGATTCTCTTTAGGGAACTGTGGCTATGAGAGTTGGTGAGGGAGGCTGCTCACGAGGGTGTTAGATTGAATGGCATCCAAATATCATTTTCCCAGTTACTTGGGATGTGTTCAGTGGTTCTGTAAGAGCAGTTTCTGCAAGGCTGTATGAGAGAAAGTTCACTTGGGGCATATTGACTTAGAGTAATATCCTGGTGGTTGTTTTTTCTAAAACCTTTCTGAAAACACTTTTTTCTTATGCCTAAGAGTCTTGGCTGGGCCTGGTGGCTCACGCCTATAATCCCAGCACTTTGGGAGACTGAGGTGAGAGGATTGCCTGCATCCACAGGTTCGAGACCAGCCTGGGCAACTTGGTGAGACCTAATCTCTACAATAAATCAAAAAATGAGCCAGGTGTGGTGGCGCACATCTATAGTTCCAGCTACTTGGACGACTGAGGTGCAAGGATTACCTGAGCCCAGCAGGTCGAGGCTGCGGTGGCTATGAGCGTGCTACTACACTCCAGTCTGGGTGACAGAATGGAACTCTGACTCCAAAGAAAAAAGAGTCTCTGATCAGTTTGTTGAGTAGTTAAAAAGGCAGGTATTTATAGCCAAGAGAAAATAATCCTTTTTTTTAAATTTTTTTTTGAGTTGGAGTCTCACTCTGTCGCCCAGACTGGAGTGCAG